ATAGTACTGCCATGTATAGTTAGACCTCGCTGCGGATAGTTAATCAGGATTAATCCTTTACTGCCCCAGAAAACCAGCTCCAACTCAACCCGGTTATACTTCTTAGGTAAGGTGTCGTGCATGAGCTCTGACGCCGAATGACAGTGACAGACCAGGATATCCGAATGGGTTAAAATTCGTATCAAACATACATCAGTATAACACTCATATCTGGTTATCTGGTTAAAAGGTCACTGCAGACAGTGACATAATATACTCTTGGTCTCCACCATGCTCATGTGTGTCAGTGTGTCAGTGTGTCAGTTAAAATGGAAATTAATGACTCAAACCTGACCCCCATCAGCGTCAGCTAAATGCAGAACTGTGCCACGTCGACGAGTACCAGAGGTGGCATTGGAGACGACCAGAACAGGGGCCAACTTCTGTCCTACTTCTACCTCCCGTACGTTTAACAGTCCGTTTTTAACATATTAAAGGGCAGTCATTTCCAAGCATGCTGTTTTCTAATAAATACCCTCAAGCGATTACCTGGGTGACCCATCTCTGTATGAAGGTACTTGTAGGAACACCTCGTTTCCCAGGTCTCCAGCTGACTAAGCGAAAACAGATGCAGTTTTCAGTCTGTAACTTGGTTTTATTTCTCTAAAGAGGCGCTCTTCTCTATACACGTGCGAGAATCAAACTGTATTCAACCTCTAACGTTTATCGTAATCCAGCCTGAAAACAAACCATGACAGGTTTAGTTATATCAATCTGAGATGACGTCACCGTGCACACTGTGACGCAAAGGCTATTACATCATAGTCGGGTATAAGACAACAGCATAAATACAGACAGTGTGGTCGGATTTGGTAACATAATGGTGCGGAATGGGATTGCGAAATGAAATATATTTCAGTGTTTCATTAATCTTTGAGAGAGAAGGAGATTTGTCTAGTCAACGGGCCACGGGCCAAAAAGACATTTTACATAGAATAATGTATACAGTTTTGTGTTTAGATTTCCACAACATATCAACATTTTTCAGTATGTGTGAATATATTAGTGTCAAGGATGAAGCAAAAGATACAATCTGAAAGCAAAGTAGAAATAATAAAGTGATAGTAGCCTGATGGGCGATATACAGTGACAGTAGCCTAATGGGCGATATGCAGTGACAATAGCCTCATGGGCGATATACAGTGACAGTAGCCTGATGGGCGATATACAGTGACAGTAGCCTAATGGGCGATATACGGTGACAGTAGCCTGATGGGTGATATACAGTGACAGTAGCCTGATGGGTGATATACAGTGACAGTAGCCTGATGGGCGATATACAGTGACAGTAGCCTGATGGGTGATATACAGTGACAGTAGCCTAATGGGTGATATACAGTGACAGTAGCCTAATGGGTGATATACAGTGACAGTAGCCTGATGGGCGATATACAGTGACAGTAGCCTGATGGGTGATATACAGTGACAATAGCCTCATGGGCGATATACAGTGACAGTAGCCTGATGGGTGATATACAGTGACAGTAGCCTGATGGGCGATATACAGTTACAGTAGCCTGATGGGTGATATACAGTGACAGTAGCCTAATGGGTGATATACAGTGACAGTAGCCTGATGGGTGATATACAGTGACAGTAGCCTCATGGGCGATATACAGTGACAGTAGCCTGATGGGTGATATACAGTTACAGTAGCCTGATGGGTGATATACAGTGACAGTAGCCTGATGGGCGATATACAGTGACAGTAGCCTGATGGGTGATATACAGTGACAGTAGCCTGATGGGTGATATACAGTGACAGTAGCCTGATGGGCGATATACAGTGACAGTAGCCTGATGGGTGATATACAGTGACAGTAGCCTAATGGGTGATATACAGTGACAGTAGCCTAATGGGTGATATACAGTGATATTAGCCTGATGGGTGATATACAGTGACAGTAGCCTCATGGGCGATATACAGTGACAGTAGCCTGATGGGTGATATACAGTGACAGTAGCCTGATGGGTGATATACAGTGACAGTAGCCTGATGGGTGATATACAGTGACAGTAGCCTGATGGGTGATATACAGTGACAGTAGCCTGATGGGTGATATACAGTGACAGTAGCCTGGTGGGTGATGTACAGTGACAGTAGCCTGATGGGCGATATACAGTGACAGTAGCCTGATGGGTGATATACAGTGACAGTAGCCTGGTGGGTGATGTACAGTGACGTACGTCAGACGTATGGGCGAATACCATGAGAGTATTCTTATGCGAGGGTAATGATCGTTATAATAATAATAATATAATATAGATCATTTGTAATGCGCTTGACTCCACAACACTAGGCCATGCTCTAAGCGCAAACACAAGGCAGTCAGTAGCGAAGAAAAAGAAATGTCTTTAGATGAGATTTGAAACTTGAGAGAGTTGGAGCAGATTTGATGTCTGTAGGGAGAGAGTTCCACAGGCAAGCAGCTGAATGTTTGAAGGATCTATGTCCGAAAGTTTTGAGTTTATATGGAGGCACAACAAGAAGTGATTGATCGGCAGATCTGAGATTCCTCGGTGGGACGTAGGGTGAGACAAGGGCTTGGAGATAGAGTGGAGCAGTTCCATTTAGTGCTTGGTAAGTTAGAGTTAAAACCTTAAACTCTATTCTTTCCCTAATTCTCGACCAGTGGAGAGACTTCAATGCAGGCTGGATATGACCTGATAGTTTTGCACGCATGATAATCCTGGCAGCGGTGTTCTGCAGTTTCTGCAGTCTGTGAAGTTGGTCATTGGTAATACCAATCAAGAGACTATTGCAGTAGTCTAACCGTGACAATACTAGGGATCTCATCAGTGTGGCAGTGGTGTTTCTAGTAAGGAGGTGACGGATAGAACCAATGTTCCTGAGGTGGTGGTGGCAGATCTTTGATAGGTGGTTAATATGCTTCTCCATGGATAGATTCTCATCTAAAACACACCTAGGTTTTAACGCAATGAGAAACAGGAATGTCTACATCATCGATCTGAAGATGATCGATACCACATTTCTGCAATCTGGATTTAGAAGCAGTAATCATGAGTTCAGTTTTGAGTTATTTAGCTGTAGCATGTTCTTAGACATCCAGTATTTAATATCTTTCACACACGACTCCATCCTGGCACAGATCTCAGTCTGACTCTGGGGGTCACTGGTGAAGTTGTCCATGAGCTGTGTGTCGTCAGCGTAAAATGATGGGCGATATGCTGGTCACGGATTAGAGAGCCGAGTGGTTTCGTATAAAGGGTGAACAGGAGTGGCCCAAGGACAGAGCAGGGTACTCCATTTCAATATAGTAGCAGGTGACATGGTGTTACGCACACATACAGATTGGGTTCTGTCCTCTAGATATGAAACACACCACTTGAGGGCAGTCCCATGGATACCGTAATCCTTTTCCAACCGATCTGTCAGAAGTTTATGATCCACAGTATCAAAGGCGGAAGACAAGTCTAAGAGAACAAGCATTCCCAAGTTACCTTCATCTACAGACCACTTCAACTTATCCACGACACAGTTGAGTGCCGTCTCTGTGCTATGGGATGACCTGTAGGCAGACTGGAACTGGTCCATCAGCCCATGTTCAGTCAGATGCACCTCAATCTGACGTTTCACTATCTTCTCCAGAATTTTGATAGGAATGGAAGGTTCGATATTGGTCTGTAGCTTTGAAGCTGTTGGGGATCAAGTGAAGGTTTCTTGATCAGCGGTTTGATCACCGCAGACTTGAAGCACTTGGGTACAGTTCCTGATTCCAATGAAACGTTTACCAGCTGTAGAAAAGCAGGTAACACAACATCAATGATCTTGTACAAAACTTGGTGGCACAGGATCAGTTTCACATGATGTGGGTTTAGATTCCAGGATTAATTTGTGCAGATACTCTTCACTCACCGGGTGAAAACTATCAAAACTGGTTCCAGAATATGGTGTAGACGATTTATAATCTGGTGTTCCAAGGTTAGTCCTAATCTTGTCAATCTTCTCAGTGAAAAAACTGGAGAAGTTTTCAGCTAGACGACTTTCGTCATCTTTTGGGAGTACAGTGTCCTTTGATTTTCCAAGATGATGATTCAGAATTGAAAATAACGTTTTTGGATTCTGAGCATTTTGTTCAATGCTTTTGTTGACAAATGCTATTTTCGATTTCCTGATTAACACATTAACATGGTTTCTAGTTACTCTGTACATCTGTCTGTGCACCTCAAGACGTGAAGACCTCCAGCGCCGTTCTGCCACACGTCGCTGAGCCTTGGCCTCCTTAACATCTATTGAGTACCAGGAACCATCCCGTTTTGGGATTTGCTTCATCTCCACAGGTGCATGAATGTTAAGACATTCTGAGAGTGAGTCACAGAGGCAGCGATACAGTCATTCCCTTAGCCTAAATATGTATCTCTCAGTCACACATATGTTGATTTAGGAATTTTAACTACTTATCCAAATGATATTTGGTAATCTTAGCAGAAATTGTATTATACCAGATTTAATAATGGATGTCAATACATATAAATAGATATGTAGCAGCTGCGCGAGTAGCACGGATATTGCATTCCTGTTTGTAGCCGATGTTTTAACCTCGGGAGTAATAAGTTATTATAAATTAAAATCCACAGGGTTCATGCACAAATCCATACTTCCTGTTTATCATTTATTAATTTACCCAGAACAAATAATGAAACGGACACACTTATAATTTTATATTCTATATACCTGCTGTTGTACCTACTGGAGACTATTTAATTTATCCATACTTATTAACTGATGTGTATTGTATATTGAATATGTATCTAACAACTGTAAATTTCTCCCAACAGGATCCTGCTGAATAATGATTCGTTTAGTTTTCTCATATCTGAGTCCCGAAGTAGAATCAACGCTGATAGCGGTTTCACTTGTGACATCACTTTTCATTGGTCCATTGCTCGTCAGCTGTTAAGAATCGCACCAATGAAACTCTGCGTGTTATGGTGTCTCATGGTCTCACCAACAACAAACATGGTGCGGAGTGGTGTGATCGAGGATAAATTGTGTCACTTGGGCAATCACCCGAGATCGACTGACCATTGCGGAGGTATTTTTATTAGTTTGTTAAGTTACAGTTTAATTGTCGACGGTTGTTACTGACAAGAGCACGTTGTCACGGACTTTCTGATTGGTATTCTGTTGAAGTTGGCACTTTTTCAACGCACGTGCTGACACTGCCATAGACTCCACAAAGTGTCTGACGAGGGAAATCGACAAATCGCAGTGGAATCCCTCGCTCACGATGGATTTGTTACGCTCAGTGTCCCACCCTGACGAAATTCTGGCATTAGTGCGCTACAAGCTAGGAGACTGTCGGGCAGTCTTGCCACAGTGTGATCCGGTGAGACCGATATCTTCTTGGCACGAATATTAGTTCATGCAGGACTAAAGTAGAGCGGTGTCTGGTATTACCGAACAGCTAACACCAGATCCCGCCTAATTCCTACTGTGTTTCATCACACGTATCAATAATTAATACACACAACGAACCTCTCAATGTGTATCATATTCAGAAGACGAGTAATCCCGTCCAGTAAACCTGTTTCATGCAAATATTTGACACGATCTAATTTTCAGATTTTGCACTCTTGTCGGCTCTGCAATTGCAGGTTTTATATTGCAAGTTTTCATGTCATATCATCCCACACTGGCAGAGAGCTGATATAAGATATTGCGTAATTTAAAATGAAATGGTGAGGACCAGTCTCGCCACCTCTCTTTGTTAAATAACAAGATCCTTACCTTTCTCTCATATACTATCATTTAGAACTGTAAAATGTATCCGTCTGCATGTGAATTCAATACTTTTAATTATTGCTTGAAAGAGTGTCACTGGAAACCTGAACAAGCAGACGATCCATCAAGGGACATAACTCTATTTCATGCCTCTGGGCTGATAGACATTGTTCATGAGATATTAAAGTTGGATACATATTTAAACATGAAGTACATTGCATGCGACATTGTGTGGGTCCCAGCACATGCTGGAATACATCGGAATGAGATTGCAGATAATCTGGCCAAATCCGGGTTACAGTTTCCTGAAGTTGATTTATTTAAATTTCAACCAATCCCTAAAGATTTTGAAACTGTTTTAGCGAAATCTGTTACAAGGAGTTGGCAACAGTTGTGGGATACAGGTACTACCGGCCGACATATGTACAAACTTTGACCATCATTAAAATCTGGTCATAAAATTTGTCGTTGTAAAAGGCGTGATGAGGTTATTCTTTCACGTCTCAGACTTGGACACTGGGCTAAATGCCTACAGGAGTATTATAGATAAGACAGTCTCTTCTAAATGTGGCCATTGCAATTTGGAGACGCCTGAAAATATCGAAAATTATCTAATTACATGCCCTGAGCATAACAACATAAGACATAATCTCAGAAGTGCTGTACTTGAGGTTGATGATGTATTTTCATTAGAGACAGTTTTGGGCCCCAATATCATGTATGGGTCTGTGCAATGGGCAGTTTTAGATTTTGTCTCGTCATCTGGAAAATATGATGTAATCTAGACAGGATCTCAAATGGCTTAGACAGATTTTGTTCTGTGGTTTTAAATCATTTTGACACTGTCATCTGAACCTTCTGCTTTTTTTAATGAATGAGTATTTCATGTTTCAGAAATAGAAGTGATTACTTAAGGTTTTTAATCCATAACACAAAGCAGACGTTATTCGACATACGTATACATCTATCCAGATTAATATTAATAGTGTTGTCGTTTCTTTTATCTTAACTCAACGATTCCTTTTGGCGATGAAATTACCTATGATTGTTTATTAAATCAAGTCAAAGTGTTGTGCGCAAATAGGCCTCTTATTGGCCCACGTCGTCCTAAAACTATAAAGCCAACCAAACCATCTGGGCTGATGCTGACACATTCAAAATGCACTGACAAGCCATATGGATCAGTGGAGTAGGGCATTATTACAGGTCTCAGGGTTTTACCTCAACATACAACACAAATTTCAAGGGTTCTTACAGGAAATATGAGGGTCCCATGAAGTAATGAAATGAAAGGCTCCTGTGTACTGTACTGTAAGACTTGATAATTACCTTAATTATAGGATGTCTAATATTCTTGTTAAAATTGGATCAGTGAACAATATTGTGGGCAGATCAAAGGTAAATCACAAACACTAACATTTAAACTATGTTATGGGCCCCTTGGGTCATGATGATATGAATTTATTCCTACGTCCATTCTGCAAATTTGCACTTTTTGGATGTGCTTGTCCATATCATGCTAAAATCTTGGGTCTCACTCTGGTTATTACTTCACCATTAATATGACTGTCTCAATGGCTCAATGGCAAAGGTAGATATGGATACATATGATTAGAAGTGACCTGTAATGGGATGTCTTCAGATCAATGTTCAGAGATAGCAGGCTTTGATATGAAGCTTTTACTTTTTAAGTGTTGAGCAAGGATTTATCTCAGGCTAATATTTGACCCCACGCCAGCTGTATCAATAAGCAATGAAAACCCATATGGCTTTTTAGAATTGATTTGTATTTCTAAAACTGATAACCAGACCAGGAAAGAAAATTAAAAGGGCTTTATTGCTTGATTTTCCACTTTTAAATAAAATGCAATGTTGAAATCCACAAATTTGAGAAGATGAGAGCTTTAAGAAATCCCAATTTGGAAAAAAAATTATGTTTTCCAAAACTCCCTGCAAAGGTCACTCAGTTTAAAATCACAATTAAATCTGTGAAATGAACAATTCTATGATTTCCTTTGGTCTTATATTCATTATATTTTCATATTGTGAGACACTGTTCAATGCAACAATGGACACTGTTCTATTTATGCAAATGTTCATCATGTTCATCATGCAACCGGTCATGCATATTTTGCCTGGAATGTGTTTTTTGTTATTGTGTGCACAACTACTGTTATTTATGGTCTGGTATGTTTATGATGTTTTTATCTGTCGACTCAAGCATATATTGTCCTGTATGTAATAAAAGTCTGTAATTTAGAAAATATCAATTTGAAACATCCAATATTTGATTCTGTCCAATTTTATCCAAACTATATATTTGGTAATTCATTTTTTAACATTATCCTTCAGAGCTTTTGATCAAGACAGCTTCACCATATTTTCTAAATTCTATTTGCATTATTATAAATAAAGTAGAAATCAGTGCATTTCAAGCTGAAAAACAAACATTAGATTTTACATTTAGTGAATATCTGTACCCCTACCCATCCACATCGCAGGTGTTTTGTTTCTAAGAATTGATTTCAATGTGCATATGAGTCATTCTCAAAATTCATGCATATTCAATTCATGTAGGCAAAAATTGTAAATTTTGTTTTCTTGTTTTACTTTGAAATATTGTTGATTACATTCATAGTATTCTGAATATACAAAACATAAATTATGCAAGCTTAACGATGTTTCATTTTTCATATTTTACCCCTTTTATTAGAAATTTTTTGAAATTGCGTCACTACCGTTAAGAAATTTGTAACGTCATTTTGAAAAGAAAAATTCAAAAGATGATATTTATTTAATTTACATATATATTGAACTATCTAGTTTTACAATATAACATGGCTAATGAGTTTTGAAATTTTATATTTATTGCTTAAAAGGGGCCAACAAGCCACGAAAATTCTTTCATTTCTGATTTGCAAATGTAAAGTAATATGTAGCGAAAAATTCAACATGAGAATATGAATTATATTATTTATGCTTACATGAAGCTCTAGTACCAAACATAGTTGCACTACAAATTCCAGACATAAACAGATAAATCAATTTTAATTAAATTAGGAAAATGATATTGTTATGGCATGGACATTGGAATTAATTGTTACGGGTAGTGACACAATAACGGTAGTGACATTTTTAATAATAGCCAGTTTTATATGTTTACTTTAAAGATAATTTGATGAAATTGGTCAATCAGATATTTAAGAATGTTTGAAGAATATGTAATAGGCAAAGATTTACTGATGAATGTCCCTGTCATGTAAAAAACAGCTAAAGACTGCATGTTACGGCAGTGACATTGTGACGGTATGTAATGTCACTACAGTAACCGCCCTGTGACAGCCATTTTCTTCTTTGTCACAGCCGTTACACTTCCCTGTCCTTACCGTAACAAAAAACTCATACTTATATGCTTATTGATTTTATTAATTTGATACAATTTTTTTATGTTAAATAAGATTCCAAAACATTTAAAAACTTTGAATTGAAAATTTAGATACAAACAACATTAAACTAGAAAAATTTCACTGCCGTCACAAAATCTGTCCTTATCGTAACAAAACCCATGATAACGGCAGTGACCGTTGAAGAAAACTCACTTTGTACTGGTGAAGTAAACTCACTTCGTACTGGTGAAATAAACTCACTTCATACCGGTGAAGTAAACTCACCTCCTACTGTTGCAGTAAACTCACTTCAACACACTTCATACCAGTGAAGTAAACTCACTTTAACACACTTCACTTCATACTTGTGAAGTAAACTCACTTCATACCGGTGAAGTAAACTCACTTCAACACACTTCATACTTGTGAAGTAAACTCACTTCAACACACCTCATACTTGTGAAGTAAACTCACTTCATACCAGTGAAGTAAACTCACTTCGTACCAGTGAAGTAAACTCACTTCAACACACTTCATACTTGTGAAGTAAACTCACTTCAACACACTTTATACTTGTGAAGTAAACTCACTTCATACTTGTGAAGTAAACACACTTCATACCGGTGAAGTAAACTTACTTCATACCAATGAAGTAAACTCACTTCATACCAGTTGAGTAAACTCACTTCATACCAGTGAAGTAAACTCACTTCGTACTAGTGAAGTAAACTCACTTCATACCAGTGAAGTAAACTCACTTTACCAGTGAAGTAAACTCACTTCACTTAAACACTTCATAGTGTGAAGTAAAACTCACTTCTTGTGAAGTAAACTCACTTCAACACACTTCATACTTGTGAAGTAAACTCACTTCAACACACTTTATACTTGTGAAGTAAACTCACTTCATACTTGTGAAGTAAACTCACTTCATACCGGTGAAGTAAACTCACTTCAACACACTTCATACTCATACCAGTGAAGTAAACTCACTTCATACCAGTGAAGTAAACTTACTTCATACCAGTGAAGTAAACTCACTTCATACCACTTCATACCAGTGAAGTAAACTCACTTCATACCTGTGAAGTAAACTCACTTCACTTACGCAGTGAAGTAAACTCACTTCATACCAGTGTAAACCCATGTTGGGATTCAACCCGGTCTTCAACGTGACGAGCCAACGCTTTAACCACAAGGCTACCCCTGTGAAGTAAACTCACTTCACTTCATACCAGTGAAGTAAACTCACTTCAACACACTGGTGAAGTAAACTCACTTCATACCAGTGAAGTAAACTCACTTCATACCAGTGAAGTAAACTCACTTCAACACACTTCTGTGAAGTAAACTCACTTCATACCTGTGAAGCAAACTCACTTCCTAAGTAAACTCACTTCATACCAGTGAAGTAAACTCACTACTCATTTCAGTAAAGTAAACTCATACCAGTGAAGTAAACTCACTTCATACCAGTGAAGTAAACTCACTTCATACCAGTGAAGTAAACTCACTTCATACCAGTGAAGTAAACTCACTTCATACCAGTGAAGTAAACTTAAACTCACTTCATACCAGTGAAGTAAACTCACTTCATACCAGTGAAGTAAACTCACTTCATACCAATGAAGTAAACTCACTTCATACCAGTGGAGTAAACTCACTTCATACCAGTGAAGTAAACTCACTTCGCATTCAGTGAAGTAAAACTCACTTCAAACTCACTTCATACCAGTGAAGTAAACTCACTTCATACCAGTGAAGTAAACTCACTTCATACCAGTGAAGGAAACTCACTTTGTATTGGTGAAGTAAACTCACTTCGTACCAGTGAAGTAAACTCACTTCGTACCAGTGAAGGAAACTCACTTCATACCAATGAAGTAAACTTACTTCATACCGGTGACGTTATCTCACTTCGTGTTGGTGAAGTAAACTCACTTCGTACCAGTGAAGTAAACTCACTTCGTACCAGTGAAGTAAACTCACTTCGTACCAGTGAAGTAAACTCACTTCATACCAGTGAAGGAAACTCACTTCATACTAATGAAGTAAACTTACTTCATACCGGTGACGTTATCTCACTTCGTGTTGGTGAAGTAAACTCACTTCGTACCAGTGAAGTAAACTCACTTCGTACCAGTGAAGTAAACTCACTTCGTACCAGTGAAGTAAACTCACTTCATACCAGTGAAGTATATCAGACATGTTCTGACATGGTAATCAACTAAGTTTTGATTAGGGAGATGCATCACTTCAGGATGTTTAAGGATATAAAATCATACATCAGTCTCTGTATATTTGTATTTTCTGTTGCAGGAGTTGATGAGCCCGACTTTGAGGAAGTGTTATGACTATCTGAGACTGACGAGCCGCAGCTTTGCTGCTGTCATCCAGGCGCTCGATGATGAACTAAGGTACTCAACATACAGAGCTCCAGATAGGGTCATATTTGCATAAATATGCACAATAATATATCATCACACCCAGGTAATTTTACTTCGCTATCAAGTATCATACAGATAGACATGCAATACCTAACCATGTCATGACACTGTAATCAAATATGTACATGAATGGTACAGCAGTGAACAATGTAGAAAAAAAGTCTTGTGTATTATAACTAATACATTTATTACTGTAGTGAACTTATTAATGCAATATTTGACAGTTATGGCATCTCATGGGGAGATGCATATTAGGTCCCCCCAAAATATGTCCATTTCCGGTTGCCCGACTGACCCTATCCTACCTCCCACCCACACACCCCACCCCCACCCTAGAAATAATGACTGGAGTGCATTTCAACTCATCATTATCATCCAAATCAAGTATGCTATTTTCATGGTTTACAGTGTACGTAGGGCTAAAATGATTGCATTGAAGTGGCATAATGGGCTCTCACTGACAAAACCTACAAATTACTAACATGAATAATGGTTTGATATAGAAATCTTTCAATGTTTCATCACAAGGCATTGTAACAGCATAATATGGTATCCTTGAAGTGAAAAAAAGAGAGATAAAATCGACCCACCTAACCTATTTTTAAAAAAGCATGTAGTAGGAAACGAACATATATTTTTGGTGGGGCCTTAGTAACAGAGTTTAAAACAAAACTGTATTTATCAATAAAAAGATTCACCCATGAGTTGAAGAAAAAAATGCATGCTTGTCCCAGTGAAATTTAACTTGTCACAGAGACTTCTATAATCTTAACTTGTACATGATATACCTACTAGCTTGTTTATAAATATGTTACCACCTGTATGGAAGCTGAAACCCAAAAGTCATCTGATCTCTTCTCTTCAACTTCAGGGATTCAGTGTGCATATTTTACCTGGTTCTACGGGCTCTGGACACTGTTGAGGATGACATGACAATACCCAACAAAGTGAAGCTGCCCATCCTCAGGTCCTTCTACAAGAACCTGCTGGACCCCAAGTGGTGCTACACAGAGAGCAAGGAGAAGGACAGGATAGTGCTGGACGACTTCCCAACGGTCAGTACATGCATAGGAGGCTTAATCTGAAAACAGGACTGCACACTTTCAGGTTTTGTTAGGGCATGTCTTGAATCAAAAGGGCCTATAGCATGCTTTACATAATCATAAGGTGCCTTCATGACCCAACATGCTTTCCTTGACACACAGTGTGCTCTCCTGAATGACAGGGGAGTTACGTGAATGCATCCAAATCGTGGGAGCTTTCACCTTATGTGAAGATCTTGCTTAGCATTGGTCCTCAGCTACTCATCCTTGCCGAATAGGGATGAGGTGGTCATGCATGCTGACTTACCTGATGCTTGTCATCATATCCCAGTTGCATAGATCAATGGTCATAATGTCAATCACTGGATTGGCTGGTCCAGACTGTGATCACATTACTTAGATATGTTAAACAATACAAAACATTTCCCTAGTGTAAAATACACTTTCCAAGTGGTGTATTTGCAAGAGATACAGGCAAGATGTGTCACCGATGTATATAAATTTGGTTTGTATATTCAAATTCTGTTCCTATTGTGTTGCAGATATCATATGAATTCCGTCAGCTGTCAGCAGTATCAAGGGAAGTGATTTCAGACATATGTCGGCAGATGGGGGAAGGCATGTGTGTGTACATGGAGAGGAATGTGGAGACTCTAGCAGACTGGGATGAGGTATGTGAAAGCTGTTGGTTATACAGATGCTCAGATCAGAGAGCACCCTCTGGTCCATTTACAAGTCACCTTCCTATAGCTGGAATATATCTGGAATACAACAAATATGCACACACACTGAATTAGTTTGTAGACAAGGAGATTGCATGTACAGTTGTATCATCTGCTGTCTGTCCAACAATCATTATGGTACATATCTCCTAGCAATATTGTCATAATATATGACACATATCTCCTAGCAATATTGTCATAATATATGATACACATCTCCTAGCTATATTGTCATAATATATGATACACATCACAACATGATATATGATACATATCTCCTAGCAATATTGTCATGATATATGATACATATCTCTTAGCAATATTGTCATGATCTATGATACATATCTCCTAGCAATATTGTCATGATATATGATACATATCTCCTAGCAATATTGTCATTATATATGATACATATCTCCTAGCAATATTGTCATGATATATGATACATATCTCCTAGCAATATTGTCATGATATATGATACACATCTAGCAATATTGTCATGATATATGATACATATCTCCTAGCAATATTGTCATGATATGTGATATATATCTCCTAGCAAAATTGTCATGATATATGATACATATCTCCTAGCAATATTGTCATATGATATGTGATACAAATCTCCTATATATTAATCTAATATTGTCATGGTTTATGATTATACATATCTCCAAGCAATATTGTCATGATATATTATATATATCCCATTGCAGTTAGGTCATGATGTCATTGTTGTATCATACACATCTCTTTTCAGTATTGTCACTATGTGGCTGGACTCATTGGAATTGGTCTATCAAAGCTGTTCTCTGCTTCTGGTCTGGAGGGGGAGTTTGTTGGGAAAGACTTGGATTTAGCCAACAGAATGGGTCTCTTCCTTCAGAGGACAAACATCATCCGAGACTACCTGGAGGACAGTGAGGAGGGCCGTGAGTTCTGGCCTAAACAGGTACATGGTGATACCTGTCTTACCCTAAACGCTATGGATTCACCAGTACGGCCCTGTTATTTCTGTGGCTGTATCATGCATGCTGTATATTCAAGTGGAAGGTCGTGGGTTCGATCCCCGACCGCGTCATACCAAAAGACGTTAAAATATGGTACTTGTTGGTCCCTGCCTGGCGCTCGGCATTAATGGGTACAACAAGGACTGGTCGGCTCGGAGTCAGTATAATGTGTCTGAGTGGGGTATTCATGCTTCACTGCGGCATGGTATCTCAGTGGGCTAGCACTTTAAAACCAGCTTCAGTCTGGGGTAGTACAAGCAGCCGCACATACACATACACACGCATGCACGTCGTCATATGAGCGAAATATTCTCAAGCACGACGTTAAACCCAATTTCACCTCACCTCACCTGTATATTCAAGGACCCATCCTTTAGCTCTAGTGACCACCTGCTCAGCTGGCAGAGCAAAGTTGCATGTTTTGTTTTTTTCACTAACAAACAATAACTGCATCTCAAGTGGTTTCTGTCAGAAGTTTGTGGTGAGATTTTCTTTAGGAAATGAATGTAATAGAAACTGACCCATTCAGCCAGTCAGACTGAAAGAATTTCAATGGTCAGTGAACACAAGAATAAATTTGTTATTGCTGAAAGGATTCTGCACGTTCTCACCTAGATTTGCAGCTTGGTGCTGATGATGAATACTTGTATTTTGAAGGTATGGAGCAAGTATGCAAAAAATCTGCGTGACTTTGCTCACCCACATCACAGGGGAGAAGCTGTGAACTGTCTGAATGATCTCATCACCAGGACCTTGGAGCTCATACCTGACTGCATCAAATACATGTCTCGACTACAGAACAAGTCTGTCTTTCAGTTTTGTGCAATCCCACAGGTGAGGCAATATTTCAGGGGTGAGAATCTTTCTAATAATATAACTAAACAGATGATGACTTGATGACTTCCTGCTGCCTTAATGTATGTGGAATAGTGCTGACATCAATGTGCAAAGAAATTCACTCATTCCCTGATATATTAAGTGTCGTTGCACTTGATCAACTGTAGGAAATGTAATAAACAGATAGTTCTTTATGTTATGTTAAAAAATGCTATGTGGTGTTTGTGATTATGCATGCCATGTGTTGTTGATATTGTCAGTACTTGTACCATGTGGTGTTTGTGATTATGCATGCCATGTGTTGTTGATATTGTCAGTACTTGTACCATGTGGTGTTTGTGATTATGCATGCCATGTGTTGTTGATATTGATTCAGTTATATTGTAGTACTTGTACCATGTGGTGATTATGCATGCCATGTGTTGTTGATATGCATGCCATGTTTGTGATTATCGTGCCATGTGTTGTTGTTATTGATATTGTCAGTACTTGTACCATGTGGTGTTTGTGATTATGCATGCCATGTGTTGTTGATATTGTCAGTACTTGTACCATGTGGTGTTTGTGATTATGCATGCCATGTGTTGTTGATATTGTCAGTACTTGTACCATGTGGTGTTTGTGATTATGCATGCCATGTGTTGTTGATATTGTCAGTACTTGTACCATGTGGTGTTTGTGATTATGCATGCCATGTGTTGTTGATATTGTCAGTACTTGTACCATGTGGTGTTTGTGATTATGCATGCCATGTGTTGTTGATATTGTCAGTACTTGTACCATGTGGTGTTTGTGATTATGCATGCCATGTGTTGTTGATATTGTCAGTACTTGTACCATGTGGTGTTTGTACAGGTGATGGCTATTGCTACCCTGGAGCGGTGCTACAGCAATCCCAGCGTGTTTACTGGTGTTGTGAAGATCAGGAAGGGGGAGGCAGTCAAGATGATCATGGGGTCTAGCTCCACAGAGAAAGTCAAAGCCATCATGGTCCACTATACTAACGAGGTAAGAAGAAGCAATTCTTTTGCTTACCTTACCTGAGCTAACTAATCAGCAAAAGGTTTCCAAACAAAATATTGAAAAACACAGGCCTAATGAGGGTAGCACGTTCCTCAAGGGAGTGAGTGAGTTGGGTTTTCGCTGGTTTTAGAAATATTCCAGCAATATCACAGTGGGGGATACCAGAAATGGGCTTCACAAATTTTACCCATGTGGGTAATTGAACCTGGGTCTTTGGAGTTACAAGCGATTGCTTTTACCGCTATGGTACCCCACCACTCCTGCATCAAAGGAGTTTTATAAACTTATGTATGTAATTTTTCTGTCTTCAACGTTTGGACCCCTAGTCTACTTGTTCTGGCCAGTTCCACCTTGTAGTGACATTTACATGTCATTGTTATTTCTTTCATATAAGTCATTAGGGATTTCTTAATTGCTGTCTACTTTAGATTGCAGGTCGCATTCCCGCCAAGGATCCAAATGCAGAGAAAACAAGAAAACTGTGTGAAGATGTCCTGGCCTGCTGCAAGACAAAACATGAATACACCACATCAAGTATCTACCCTCCGCTCTACGTTTCCTGTGCTATGATGCTGGTAGCCATATCCTACAACTACTGGTCCCAGATAGAAGCTGTGTATCACTCAATGACGTAACAGTGTAACAGTGTCTGTGACAGATCCTAACGTGTCTGATAGACACTGTCTATCATTGTGCTGGATAGAGGTGCTCTGTTGTGTGACGCTTCTAGCCATATCCTACAACGTCTGGTCTGATAGACACTGTCTATCATTAGATGACTAAACAACCTTCGATAGAGGTGCTCTGTTGTGTGTCCTGTGCAATGATGCTGCCAACCGTAGCCAGTATTTACTAGTCCAGAGAGATGTCCTCTATAGCCATTTTCCACAACTATTTGTGCAGAGACGGGTCACAAATAACATTTGTCTGTGGAGCAGGAAAGATTTTGTGCAGAGTTCAGTCCCCTGAATGACCTTTTGTCTGCATCACTTTGGGGTTTCGTTCTCACTGTAAGCAGAAATATCTAAATAAATTCTTTTGCTGTCAACAACAAGCCCAACACACCCCTTGGAGCAGACTCTCTCCAGAGGTCAAATATGAATATCAGTCTGTTGCTACTAGACATACTTTATTGTCATGTTTAGAGTGTGTTTACAAAATTCTTGCCTTTTTGGTATATTTGTCTTTGGTCTTCTTCGTAACTACACATGGACTCCTGTAACTATTTATGTATTCAAGGCATCATGGATGGATGATACCCAAGGTGAAGGTCATTGGTTTTTCAAGTCAGTGTCAATTTGTCCGTATTTATGCTTGAATGTTCATTAGGGCAGTGATGATATGTCACATATTAAAGAGATATATACCATCATCAATGTTTGGAATTTCCTGTATTTCCGAACTGATTTGGATCTGATTTAATGAGGTCATGATGATTATAGGTGGTTTTGATTTCATGTGAATTAAATGAAAACTGAGTTGTGTCTGTTACTGTATGTAGTGCAGCTAGATGTCCGGTGTTACATATCAGCATTTGTGTTGCTTACCATTCCATAGTGAGGATCAATGATAATATGTATACACTTGTAGAGTGTGAGAGAGATAGAACCATAGGATCGTTTCTTTTCACCATAGTTATATATAACATGACCAAGTTGAACTGAGTGTTCCAGGGGTTTTATTTCTGGCTGAGGATGTAAAGGTTTTGAAATGAGTCCTTTTGGCTGTTACATGACATCTTGGAGGTCACACAGCACCTAAAGAATCTTTGCTTTCATGTGAAGTCCCAAGGGAGCTCAAGGCATCTGTAATAGGTCTGTTACTTGTCAGTATGGGTCCACTAGATAATTTTAGCGTTCATGTTTACGCACAATTTACCAAGTGGCTGTGTGGTGTATGTATTGTGTGTTTTATCACTATCTGTGATACAAGATATTTTTGCAATAAAATATTATTAAACTGAGTTCAAGAATCTTGTTTTTGCCAAGCATAAAATCAGTATTCCAGAAACGTTCAGGTGAGCTCCATAGGTTTGTGAATATTGAAGTCAACCAAAAGAGACACTGGGTTCACCTGAATGTTTCCCAGTGTTATTCAATCAGAGAGATGTTCCATAAACTATCGGGGGCGGTGGGGTAGCCTAATGGTTAAAGTGTTGGCTCGTCACGCCGAAGACCCGGGTTCGAATCCCCACATGGGTACAATGTGTGAAGCCCATTTCTGGTGTCCCCGGCCGTGATGTTGCTGGAATATTGCTAAAAGCGGCGTAAAACCAAACTCAGTCAGTCAGTCCATAAACTATCCAAGTTCCTATCACAAGATATACCCACTCGGTCATACTTATCTTCAGTATCCTGCGGCCTGCATATCGGTAAACAGTAAACACATCCCAGTGACCATTCTTGAAGTGCTTACCATCACAAATTACCCGCCCTTGAGTTTCGTTAACATTTTGCCGATCCGTTAACGTTAATACACATGTAAGAGGTAACTCGTATTACTTAGAAATCAAAGCCACTGCTAGTTTCAATGGACAAGAGGATATTTACGCCAGAATGAGGTAGAATTTCATTGCATTCCTTTGAGTTTCAGTCCGTTTATTTTATCGTATTTGTTAAGTCGTAATCATGTTGATATAGATAAAACACCACATTGAGGCTGGTTTGCAATTGGCATTCTGATTGTTACGTCAGATTTCGTTGAGCTCCAATCAGTGGCAAATAGAAATTTCGTGCAGGTAATTTGAGATTGTGATTGATTGAGTTTAGTTTTAGGCAGCCCTCAGCAATATTCTAGCTATATGGTGGCGGTCTGTAAATAATAGAGTCTGGACTAGACAATCCGGTGATCAACAGCATGAGCATTGATTTACGCAATTGGGATACACTGACTTACCTCACACATAAATGTCGCTTTCTGATTGGCTGAGCGCTCTTCTATTATTTTCATTGTACCCCGCTTACAAGCGAGTAACATTTCAATGTACCCGCTGTCAATGGCAACTCATTTGGTACTTCGTGGTAGTAATTCTTTATCTCGAATAACATTGAATCACGTATGATGTACGGAAATTACCGATGTTTCGCGAATGCAAATCGATGGAAGGGAGATAAATTTGTTTTTCTTGTCAGCAAAATCTAGCGATGGCTACAAAAATATTTGTACCCGTGCTTCTAACAATTCAAAATTAACATTAAGGTGTTCGGTAAGATAAATACGTTGTTCACTGGTCCCTCGGGGCCCATGATTGATGGGCTCAGGGAACAGAAATAAACATCGAGGGTACATCATTCGGGCTCAGGGAACATAAATGAACATCGAGGGTACATCAACCCATGGCCCCCTCGTGACCAGTGAACAACTTACACTGTCAACCAAGTCTGCGAGCCTGACGACCTGATCCCGTGAGTCGCCGCCCCCACGGTCTTACGACAAGCATGTGTTACTGAAGATAAATTCTATCCCAAATCTTCACGGGTTGAGATTGTGAAAACTACGGGAATTAATTCAAGCATGGAGGATATGAATGGTGTCATATATGGGTGGGTTTCTCAGGATAAAGCTATCTGCTCAAAACGGTATTTGGTCGGTCGTTTACAGATAAATTTGCAATGGCCGACGTCTAAAAACCTTTCCAGTTGAATTTCATAGAACATGTCATGACTGAATGTCATACAAGGTAGACCGATCTACCTAAAATCAATCTCTACAATTCTGGAAGCTTCTGTTGCCACACTGCGACAGACTTATCACCACACATTCCAGCAAAACGTGAAATATTTAGACCAGGAACCGCAACAAATGAGGAAAATACTTTTTCTCCGAAGGTGGAAAATAAGGATGACTTTCTATGATGTTAACTTCACCTGTTCTGCTCGGGACATTTAAAACGAGATCAGGAGCGGTGGGGTAGACATGTAGTTAAAGCGTTCGTTCGTCACGCCGAAGATTCGGGTTCGATTCCCCACATGGGTACAATGTGTGAAGCATATATATCTGGTATCCCCCGCCGTGATATTGCCTGAATATTGCTAAAAGCGGCGTAATACTAAACTCACTAAAATAAGGTCACCGAGGTGTTTAGATGGGAAGAGCAGGTCACAAAGCGCTTGAAAGTAGGCATTCATATTCAGCCACTATTTACACACTGACGCTAAACAAACATCACAGACCTCGCAACGTTTATTCTCAATGCATGATATTCATCATCCCCAACACATACAAGCGTGTTTATCTCAGATTCAGTAAAGCACATATTATGCACGAATATCTAACAGCTGCATTTACTAGGACCAGGGCAGACTGGCAACACCAAAAAGTCAAACTGGCCAAACGCCAATTTGGAAACGTTAACAGAGAGTGAGTGAGTTTATGTTTACGCCGCACTCAGCAATATTACAGCTATATGGCGGCGGTCTGTAAATAATCGAGTCTGGACCAGACAATCCAGTTATCAACAGCATGAACATCGATCTGCGCAATTGGGAACCGATGACATGTGTCAACCAAGCCAGCGAGCCTGACCACCAGAACCCGTTAGTCGCCTCTGACAAGCATGGGTTACTGAAGGTTCATTCTAACCCGGACCTTCACGGGTTGGTGAGATAACGATTTATACTAACAGAGACCGATTTCTCAAAACAAACTTAAGTTATTACTCAAATTTTGAACCGAGTTTTAGAATTGGAATCAACAGTAACTGGGTTTCTAAACGGCATTTTTAAGCAACAACACAAAGCAAATCAAACTTTTAAAGAATTTTTTTAATGTAAATGAGTCATAATTGACATATTTCGTCAATTGGTTGTAGGTTGTCTGAATAAATATAGCCTTCGACGTACAAACGTTATGATTAATTTTGTATATTGATCGAAGCGCCATAAAATATTAGGAACTATGACAACATGTGATTGTGTTACAGATGATGGTTTCACTTGTAGTGGGAATAAAATTGATTATGAAAACATTACAATTTCAACATTGCTGTATTCTTACAATACTCTATAAACCTGCAATATACCATCAACTCCATGCGATATTTTTGGCATAGTTTGCTCTTCTTCCAGTTTCCAGACCCCTCGAGATTCAAGATCGGAAAGATTTGTACGAATAATGTCACTTTTAAAGTTGCGGTCGTAATTGTTGATCATGACATGCCCACCTGGAAGCAATAAAGCAAGTTGAATGTAAGCATTGAAACAGGAATACGTCATGTTGTGAAACAATTACCTGCAAACTATTTCCTCATGACGTAGAAATAGACCAACGTCCGAGAACAGTCCAGTCTGTGCTGTGACAGCCTCGTACATTGCGATGTACACTTCCATTGTCATATACAGAGACCTGTATACGGTCTCAGCCTCGTGCACAGTGGAGACCTACACTATAACAGCCTCATGCACAGTGGAGACCTATACAGTTAGAGCCTCATACACAGTGGAGACCTACACAGTCAGAGCCTCATACACAGTGGAGACCTATACAGTCAGAGCCTCATACACAGTGGAGACCTACACAGTCAGAGCCTCATAGTCATACACAGTGGAGACCTACACAGTCAGAGCCTCATACACAGTGGAGACCTATACAGTCAGAGCCTCATACACAGTGGAGACCTATACAGTCAGAGACTCATACACAGTGGAGACCTATACAGTCAGAGCCTCATACACAGTGGAGACCTATACAGTCAGAGCCTCATACACAGTGGAGACCTATACAGTCAGAGCCTCATACACAGTGGAGACCTATACAGTCAGAGCCTCATACACAGTGGAGACCTATACAGTCAGAGCCTCATACACAGTGGAGACCTATACAGTCAGAGCCTCATACACAGTGGAGACCTATACAGTCAGAGCCTCATACACAGTGGAGACCTATACAGTCAGAGTTTCATACACAGTGGAGACCTATACAGTCAGAGCCTCATACACAGTGGAGACCTATACAGTCAGAGCCTCATACACAGTGGAGACCTATACAGTCAGAGCCTCATACACAGTGGAGACCTATACAGTCAGAGCCTCATACACAGTGGAGACCTATACAGTCAGAGCCTCATACACAGTGGAGACCTATACAGTCAGAGCCTCTCATACACAGTGGAGACCTATACAGTCAGAGTTTCATACACAGTGGAGACCTATACAGTCAGAGCCTCATACACAGTGGAGACCTATACAGGAGACTGGAGACCTACACAGTCAGAGCCTCATACACAGTGGAGACCTACAGTGGAGAACTATACAGTCAGAGCCTCATACACAGTGGAGACCTATACAGTCAGAGCCTCATACACAGTGGAGACCTATACAGTCAGAGACTCACACAGTGGAGACCTATACAGTCAGAGCCTCATCACACAGTGGAGACCTACACAGTCAGAGCTTCATACACACAGAGGGAGTCAGAGCCTCATACACCTATACAGTCAGAGCTTCATACACAGTGGGAGACCTATACAGTCAGAGCCTCATGCACACAGTGGAGACCTATACAGTCAGAGTTTCATACACAGTGGAGACCTATACACAGTCAGAGCCTCATCACACACTGGAGACCTACACAGTCAGAGCATCATACACAGGAGACCTCATACACAGTCAGAGCCTCATACACACAGGAGACGTACACTGTCAGAGCATCATACACACAGGAGACGTACACTGTCAGATCATCACACACACAGGAGACGTACACAGTCAGAACTTCATGCACAGAGGAGACGTACACTGTCGTATCATCACACACTGGAGACGTACACTGTCAGAACTTCATGCACAGAAGAGACGTACACAGTCAGAGCTTCATACACACAGGAGGAGACACAGGAGACGTACACTGTCATATCATCACACACTGGAGACGTACACTGTCAGAACTTCATGCACAGAAGATACCGACACAGTCAGAGCCCCATACACACAGGAGACGTACACTGTCATATCATCACACACTGGAGACGTACACTGTCAGAACTTCATGCACAGAAGATACCGACACAGTCAGAGCCTCATACACACAGGAGACGTACACTGTCATATCATCACACACTGGAGACGTACACTGTCAGAACTTCATGCACAGAAGATACCGACACAGTCAGAGCCTCATACACACAGGAGACGTACACTGTCATATCATCACACACTGGAGACGTACACTGTCAGAACTTCATGCACAGAAGATACCGACACAGTCAGAGCCTCATACACACAGGAGACGTACACTGTCAGAACTTCATGCACAGAGGAGACCCACACTGTCACAGCCTCATGCACAGAAGATACCAACACGGTTAGAACTTCATGCACAGTGGAGACCTACACTGTCACAGCCTAAAACACAGAGGAGACCTACACAGTCAGAACTTCATGCACAGAGGAGACCCACACAGTATGAACCCATACAGTGGCCTACATTATCACAACCCTCTATACCCATACACACATGTACATGCACAAAGCCCATGAGTTATTCTCTCATGCACATATATTCTAACAGTGACATGAGAATTGATGACATCTACCTGTTGGACTTTATTCTTGTGTAAAATGCTTTGACTTCAAGGCCAGCGTTCATGCTAGTCAGTGTATCCCGTATTTCGTCTAACGTACCTGTCTTTGTGACTCGAGCCAGCTCCTCAAGAGCTTTCACTGGGAGTTTCTTCATGATCTCTGAACTCATACCCACCATCGTCACCACCGTGTAGCTATCTGTGAACAGCCAGATCGTAGAACATTGTGGTACTGGATTTGACTACTGCTGAATAGAAGGTATTACAGCTATGGAAACAACAAGAGCTATAGGAGAAATAGGACATGTCGTATTACCACATGCATTAACCAATCTGTTGGTTTATTCACGGAAAATATACTTGAACACGTATCTATGTCAAACCTTCCTGTAAGCGGCTTAAAAACACTTGGTATGACAGAGAATGTCATGGTAACAAAGTTGAGGCCAGAAAAGCATTGCTAAAATACAGGACTACGAAGATCTAGTCTCATTTCGATACATACAGAGTTTTGCGAAAAAGATATAAGACCTCTGTTAGAACCAAGCACAGAACTTTCAACTTCAACAGACCTTATTATTGGAAGAAACTGTATGCGATAGCAATGCGTTTTGGAAGCAGGTCAAGAAAGACACTGTGAGACAAGATTACACCATTCCACCTCAGGCAGGGTTTGACCATTTTAAAGAACTTTTCTCAGCAGGTGATACCCAGGAAAGGACTACCGCAGGGAATCATGATATAGACAGTAACCATGTTGATACTGTTGATGTCCCAATTACAGCTAAAGTAATCACGGAAGCTGTGAATAAATTAAAGAGTGGAAAGTCATCTGGTCCGGATTATATAATACCAGAATTACTAAAATCATCACTTAAGTATATATTGCCTTACATAGAAAAACTCTTCAACAAAATCCTTGATATAGGTGTTTTCCCCAACGGCTGGGGAAGTGACATTATTGTTCCTATACATAAAAGCGAGTGCCTCAAAGACCCGAACAACTACCGGTGAATTACCTTAAAAAGTGTGTTTGGAAAGGTTTTCACATCTATCCTTAACAAGCGCCTATCGACTCGGACTGAAATTAATCACAAGATATGTGAAGAACAAGCAGGATTTCGTCAGGGCTACACTACTACGGACAACATCTTCACACTAACTGCCTGCGTACAAAAATATCTCAGTAAAAGAAAAGGTCGCTTATATGTTGCTCTAATTGACTTTAGGACTGACTGACTGACTGACTGAGTTTGGTTTTACGCCGCTTTTAGCAATATTCCAGCAACATCACGGCGGGGGACACCAGAAATGGGCTTCACACATTGTACCCATGTGGGGATTCGAACACGGGTCTTCGGCGTGACGAGCCAACGCTTTAACCACTAGGCTACCCCACCGCCCCTTGACTTTAGGAAAGCATTTGATTCTATCAATAGAACAAAACTGATGGACGTACTTCGAATCATCAACCTGAGTGGGAAAATGCTTCACATTATTGAATCTATGTATTCACGAGTGTCAGCTTGTGTTAGATGTAGTGGAGCCCTATATCACGGGCCAGAAACGGTGGGTGTTGTTGTTTAAACGTCGCGTGGACGACGACTATACACAATCCATTGACATGTTGCACACCGGCGTGAAGCTGGTTCCCAGGGCCAACTGGTGGTATCATCAGAAGTGACCTGTCTTTAACGGGTTCGAAGACGGGGCGCTTTTAAGCCCGATTTGACCCGATTTACGGCAGTATTTCACGCTGCAGATGCTTGTTATGTTTCGTACATCGACCCCGTGTCTTAGCTTTCACGTCATGTGCGACACGTGCGGGTGTCGTCACGTTTTCCCACCCTTAAAGCCCCCCGAAGCTAAGCCCCGTGCGTGTGACGGGAGCCAAAACAGCTCAGATTTCATATCAAAAGGGGTTTGATCTCTGCATCCCGCTTGCACTAATCGTCTCGCACCCGGAGAAAGAAACATATGCACGCATATCATATATGAAAATGTTGCCACGTGGACAAGGCACCTGGGATCGTCACGGGGTCGACGTGGGGCACCTGGTTGGACGTCCACGTCCATTTGGCCATCTGATATAGACATGTCTTTTTACCAAGAAAAGAGCCTTGCTCTGCGATCATCTTTTATACGTCGCGTGGACGACAAATATACGCAACCCATTGACATGTTGCACATCGACGTGAAGCTGGTTCCCAGGGCCAACTGGTGGTATCATCAGAAGTGACCTGTCTTTAACGGGTTCGAAGCCGGGGCGCTTTTAAGCCCGATTTGACCCGATTTACGGCAGTATTTCACGCTGCAGATGCTTGTTATGTTTCGTACATCGACCACAGGGTTTTGTTGTTACTATGGATCGAAAGCCCCGTGTCTTAGCTTTCACGTCATGTGCGACACGTGCGGGTGTCGTCACGTTTTCCCACCCTTAAAGCCCCCCGAAGCTAAGCCCCGTGCGTGTGACGGGAGCCAAAACAGCTCAGATTTCATATCAAAAGGGGTTTGATCTGTGCGTCCCGTTTGCACTGATTGTCTCACACACGGATCCCCTTTTGCTACTGCTGTATATAAACACAATGGGCCGAAACGACAATTATAGAGTTTTGGAATTACGATAAAATGATGATCTACCGGACAGGGCATGGGCGTTTAAACGTACCTACACATACACTTACGAATGGAAAGCCAGAACTGGGCATTGGCTTTTGACGTCAAGTGGACGCCATCCTTGCCTAACAGTGCAGGTCCCATCCTCATGTGCTGGCTGTGGTCCCAAAAGGTGGCATCCAGACGGCGTCGCAACATCCTCTTCAAGCGCCGATTCGTCTCCTCCACCTTCCGCTTGTAGGCAGAGACCGTCATGTTCCTTGGTTTTACCCTCGGGAACAGACTTCCTATCACTGCTCTGGAGCCCGGCCGTTTCCACCGAAGGTAGTCCAGAAGATCCAGCAAGTCCTCAACCAGGTTCTGAGGATCAGTTGACGCCGACACGTCGTTCTCTCCCACTTGAAAGAAAACAATGCCCTGGAAACCTGCATCAAGGGCATCCACCACTGCTTTCATCCGAGCGACAGTCGCCCCTCCTATCCCACGCACGGAAGTGATGATGCCACGTGGAGGGGGACAGACTTGATCAAGTCGCCGCACGAAGCTATGTCCCAGGATGGCAAAGTGGACGGGCTTTGAAACAGGACCTTTAAAAAGTGTGTAGGCCATGGCTTGAATGAAGTCTTCAACAATGAGTTGTGTCAAACAATGTTAGCACAAGTGCCGTGATGCTTGTATCTGACTGCTAGGTATATATAGCCCGGGCGATTGAAAAGTGTTTGTATTAAGCTCTGCATTGAGGTCACAGAGTCAATCAATCATTCATGGATTAAGGCCGGTTGGTAGCTTAAACCTGACACGACTCACTCATCCCATTCACTTATGCGATTAAACAACCGATCAACGATTGGCGCTTTCAGTCGTAATTCCCGCCACTTGGTTGGCTTCCATGTCTCACTCAGAAACTCTCGGATTAGGCATTACAATCAAAACATCAGAGCAGAGCCTGTGTGCCCCACCACAACAAGTGCCTCTGCAAACGTGACGCCAATCAAGGCTCATTTGAAGACAATGAGGTGAGTAAGAACTCACTATGAAGCTACTTAAGGGATGTAATTGTGTGAAGGTGACCTTTAGTAACAAACAATAAGAATTAAATATCACAAAAAACGTGTCTCCGTTTTCTCTTCACATGGAAATAAAGACAATACCAAGGCTAAACGTAGCAAAGAAATCGTTTTATTCATCCTTCCAGACAACATCAAACCAAGTGCAAACATAGCAAAAATTCAGTTCGCCATCACACCAGGTGGAATTGAAGACAATACCACGGCTAAGCGCAGCAATGAAAACGTTTTATTCATCCTTCCAGACAACATCAAACCAAGTGCAAACATAGCCAAAAATTCAGTTCGCCATCACACCAGGTGGAATTGAAGACAAATATCCGGGCTAGTTCGTAGACATTGAAAGCATGTTCCCCTCACCTGGAAACAATACTATCAATGCCTCGGCCGGCCTACCGACTCAATTCATAGAACTTGAGTAGAAAATCACTTGAGCCAAGGATTATATTTCAGTTTCACATGCCCGACTTTACCTCGATGTTTTTTCCCGTTTAATTTACTGGTATTATTAGTTCTTTGTTGTTATTGTTTTAAGTTTATGTCATTGCGGTTTGGGTTAGGGATTCAGCTTAAAGAGAAGGCCGTAGGCTTTTAGTTTTAATTTATGTTTTTTTTTCGGTTTTGGTTTACGTTTTAACCTTCTTTGTTTTAAGTTTATGTCATTGCGGTTTGGGTTAGGGATTCAGCTTAAAGAGAAGGCCGTAGGCTTTTAGTTTTAATTTATGGTTTTTTCGGTTTTGGTTTACGTTTTAACCTTCTTTGTTTTAAGTTTATGTCATTGCGGTTTGGGTTAGGGATTCAGCTTAAAGAGAAGGCCATAGGCTTTTAGTTTTAATTTATGTTTTTTTTTCGGTTTTGGTTTACGTTTTAACCTTCTTTGTTTTAAGTTTATGTCATTGCGGTTTGGGTTAGGGATTCAGCTTAAAGAGAAGGCCATAGGCTTTTAGTTTTAATTTATGTTTTTTTTCGGTTGCGAGAGAGAAGGACTTATTATTGCCCACATCGATGTTTTTCGTCCCCCTTTAATTTACCGGTATTATTAGTTCTTTGTTTCGTGTTGTTATTGTTATTTTACGTTTTAACCTTCTTTGTTTTAAGTTTATGTTACTGCGGTTTTGGTTAGTGATTCAGCTGAAAGAGAAGGCCGTAGGCTTTTAGTTTTAATTTATGTTTTTTTCGGTTTTTAGGTTAGCGTTTTAGATTAGAGAGAGAAGGACTTATTGCCTTTTCACGCTAGTTTTATGTTACATCGGTTTGTGGTTAGTGTTAGTTTAGAGCGAGACAGTGTTAACTTGTACTTTTATTTTTGCATTCCCCATTTGTAAGACGAACATGATCATGACGCGAAGCATTTGTGCATCACAGTCATATACCAAGAATGGATAACCATAGCTCACGCATTCAATACTCTAACAATTGCATAATGGACAGATGATTCAAACATGTCAGCACAAATATATAATACGAAACATTAAACCTGGAAGGATACAACTTTGATTTCAAAGTCCGATTGCTG